CACAGGTCAGCTAGCATGGTGTAGGCAGCAGCAAACAAGAGACATTGTCCAGGGCTAGACAGATGGCTCAGTGGTTGGCAGCACCTGCTGCTCCTACAGAGGACCCAGGTTAGGTTCCCAGCACTCACATGGCAGCTTACAACAGGCTCTAACTACAGTTCCAAATGATTTGATGCCCCCTTCTGGCCTTCATGAACAGGAATGCACATGTTATACATACATACAGGCAAGCACTCATACACATAAAACTTTTTAAAAAGAGAAAGACCCTATCTAAAACAAGGTGGGTACCTTGGACCCCACAGCAAAGGCTGCCCTCTGACCTCTATTCATGCACTGTGGCATCTGTGCTCCTGCACTCACACACGAACTGAAAATAAAAGTACTACTCTTGACAGTCAACTGGTACAATAGAAATCAAAAAGATCTACCCTCAAATCCTCAAATCAGGTACCCCATTCACTGACAAGTTCTTTTTAAGACTATAAATACATAAATAATACATCCAAGGCTGGGTGGTGGCGCTCACGTTTGATCCCAGCACTTGGGAAGCAGAGGCAGGTGGATCTCCGAGTTCAAGGCCAGCCTGGTCTACATAGTGAGTTGCAGGACAGTTGGGGCTACAGGAAGACCCTGCCTCAAAAAGACCAATAAACAAACAAACTTCCCCTTTTGCCCAATCCCACCACATCATCTGTAGGCCACCAGTCCACTACAGTTTCTACTCCTTCCAGGGGTGTCCAACCTTTTGACACTGTGACACAACACTGTCAACTACCAAGTTCATACACGAGAACCACACAATCTAATTCTTTTTTTTTTCTTTTTTCAATCTAATTCTTTTTAAAAGCAAAAAAAAAAAAAAAAAAATTCATGTTTTTCAGAATTTGATGTTGGGCTGCATTCACAGCTATCCTTGACTGCATGCAGCCCATGGGCCATGGCAAGCTGGACAAGCCTAAAAGGCAATGTTGAGTAGATGGTTTTGTAGTGTGTCACAGTATAGTCAAGAACACCAAATCCCTTTCAGGAAACACATTTTGGGGGAATCAGTGGAGCTCAAGCATATACCTTGCCAGAAAGTAGGTGATAATGATCTTGTTTTTCCCTGTCTCACTTGCAGTCAATTAAAGCATTCGGACACTTCAGCATCCCCCTTTCACATGTGAAATAGCTTCACTTTTTATAGTTGTGGCTACAGTGATATACACATAAGGTGTACACACATTTGGAATGGTTCTCCAAACTCTTCAGTCTTTTATCTCTCCATAAGAGAAAAGAAGAAAAGTGAAAATCAGTTGACATGTAACTTGAAAATGGATTGGATTACAATTAACTAAACATGCAGAATAGAACAGACTAAGGAAACTGTCCTTTTGTCAACCTGCTTAATCATTTTAAAATCTTTAAACCATTTTAGACTAAAAAAGGAGTCAGGCAAGGGACAAACAAAACTTTTCTTTAAAAAAGCCAATAAATGACAAGTGTGCCCAGAAGTTCATTAGAATTAAAGTCACTCTCTAGAAGCTGGTACTTGTTAACTAGGCAAATTTTAAATTTTCATTTATAAAGAAATTCAATCTCTTGAATTACTGGAAGAAAAATATTAACTTTAAATATACTGTTGCCTGAAATGCTAAGACAAAGTATTTATCATGCACCTAAATAATTCTATAGCATTTCATTCCCTGGAAAAGTCTGAAAATATCTCTATAAATTCAATTTCAACCACAAAAAGCAATAATTAAAAAAAAAAATCTAACCTGTCAACTTGAAAAATCAGTATCAGAATATTAAGGTATAAACTTTTCTACCACACCAGAATTCAGAACCTGAGAGACCTGAGTTAGACTGATGGTAATCCAAAGATCTTTACCCCCTGATAAAGTTACACTGAAAGGCATAATTTAGGCCTAGGCCAAAGGGGCTCTCTAATAGCACACCCAGTAATTAACCTAACACAACACAGGTAGCAATGGACAACTCCTCTCCTCTCCCTTAAGAGGCAGTCTATCCCTGGTGGTCTCATGACATAGAGTACATACTGGGGCAAACTCCCAGAAAAAGGAAAAAGAGCCCAGCAGTTTTTAGTTCCCTCTTACAATTTACCTCATAGAAGAACAAGGAAGAAAGACAGCAAGCTCAAGCCTGATAGTTTTTATGACTTCTTAAAAACACTAAGAAGTATATTATGCCACAAGCCAATTTACCCAGCAATAAGTGTAATTTTTACATTAACTTGTTAGTAAATTGGCCCCAAGTTGTAAATGCAAATCAAAGCCATGTGGGACGTGAGTATTCAGATACGGTATCTTAAATAACCATAGGTTTTTACAATATATGAAAAGATTTTTCTTTGTTTTAAGAAACCCAATGAAATTCTAAATTAGGAACTATGATGAAGCTGAGTACAAGAGACATGAACCAACCTCTACCTCAAATTATGAAAATCCTATCAGTGTACATAAAAACAAGGCATGGTTGAATATGTAGCTTGGTGACAGAGCACTCACAAAGTCATGGTTTCCAAGCTCAGTATTGTACACACAAGTACACACGTGCATGCAAATACAAATATGAACACACGCATGCAGCATGGTCACTGAGAAGATTGGTTTGTTGTTACACTTGGCCTAAATCACTTATCATAATTACTTCCGCCAACTTACATAAGTATATACTCAAAGACAAATTATCTTTCAACAGCAGAAAGATTTATAACAAGTATAAAAGTTTCAAAAGAAAGAAGGTTCAAGTTTTAATGTGTTAAAAAGTTATTTTAAAATCTTGAACCTGCAAGACGGCTCAGTGGGTAAAGCCCTTGCCTCCAAGCCTGACAACCTGAGTTCCATCTCCAGGACCTGCATGGTAGAAGGGGGTCCGAGGATCTCCATACTAGCACCCCACACACACAAAGGAAATTTACATTAAATGTAATACAAAAATTTACTTTTAAATCCTACTAAATATTGAACCAGCTAGCAGAACTTTGGACTCAAGACAAAGAAAACAGCTTAATCTGTCAGAAAAGGCTTAAATGTGTTAATGACAAATCTAGTTATAAGGTAAAATCTGCTAGACTTATACACAGAATAAGAAAACTAAACAACAACAAAAAAGAAAACCAATATTGTAGTTTTTGAAATATAATTTTAAAATTACTGTAACTTTCCTGTGTTCAGTAGCTGCCCTCAAATCATCAAAAGGCAGCCCTACAAAACTCAATTTCACCAAAAACGAATTTTAAAGACATTCTTGCAGTAAAGCAAATGTCACATGATGTAAAAAATTTGTAAAAAAAAAAACGAGCAACAGAGGCTCATTAACCAATTAAAAATATCCACCCTTGTATTTTTAACAGGGTTCCTAGCAAGGATTTCCTAAATCATCCTCCAAGTCACCCGGTCACATGGTAAAAAGAGTCACGAATCTAAGCGGTGAACAACCTTTTAAAATGCTAAGGTAGCTCCCTTTATTAAAATTGCCTTCCTAGCACCCAGTATCTTTACATATATTACATGCTGTTAACCATTTAAAAATCACTTCCCCTAAAATACTTGTAACTATAAAACTTATACCTCCAGATTTCTTAAAAATCTGACTGAATTTTCTTGATTTTTGTCTTACTGCCCCTAAAATGTCTACAATCCGTTTCCTTCCCCAAAAGTTTAAATATGTTAGAATGATTTTTCATTCTAAGTTAAGAAAAATGAGGTTTCTATAGCTATGTTCTGGGAAGAAGCACTAACTGGTACACGTGTTTGGGCATAAACTTGATACAATGTATTTCCCTCAGAAGGTGACCCTCCTCACACCCAAACTATTGCTTGAATATTTTAAGTCGCTAATTTGTCCTTCGGCTTCAAAGTTACACGTTGTTTTAAGTATCAAAAGGTATTCCTCAAACAGAAACAACGTTCCTTACTAAGGGCACCTGGGCAGGTCGAACCCCAATCCCTGTTTCTTTCATACTCACATCTGTCTGTCCAGGGTTTTCCTGGACACACTCGAGCATCGAGGACCCCCCCCCCCCCCCCCCCCCCACGTTTTCATCAAACCACTCCTTCCGCTTCACCCACTTCCAGCTTGCACGTTTCTCCGGCTCCACCGAGCTGCTCCCCGACTCCGGGATCCCGTGGCCTGGGGCGGCCTCAGGTGGCCGGGAATCCAGGGCCAGCGGAGCACAGGGCCCGGCAGGCGCAGGGCGCGGGAAGGAGGCGGGAAAGTGGCCAGCGGCGCCCCCTCCCCCGCCGGCGCACACCCCCTTCCGGCTCCCCTCCCCCGGCATTGTGCGAGCGGGCCCAGGCCGCAGGCCGTCCAGACAGCCGCCGAGGCCCGGCCAGCTCCCGCCCGCGGCCTGTTCCCGCTGAAGCCGTCACACAAAGCCCGGAGCCGGGCCCCGCGGCGCCCAAGGACTCGAGACGCAGCCAGCGCGGGCTGACTTACGGGGCTGCTGTGGCCGCGCTGCCTCAGCCGGCGACACCGACCGTTGGGCACCGGCGGCGACGCTGTCGGTCGGCCGTCCGTCCTCCCCCTCCTCCGCCTCCGTCGGCAGCGATGTCTTCTTTCTCCTCCTTCCTCCCTCCCCCCCACCCCACCTCCTTCTTCTCCTCCCCCCCTCCTCCTCCGAACCACCGAAGTACCGAGGGTGAGGCGCAGAGACTCACAACAACATGGCTGCCACCGCCGCCGCCCCCCGCCCACCGGCCGCGCGCAAGGCACTCCGGGAGAAAGGAGAAGGGGGAGAGCTCACCCCGACGCGGCGGCTCTCAACGCTCGGCTGGCTTCTCCCGCGCTCCAGGCCCGGGCCTGCCGAGACTCTGCGCCTGCGCACGCTCGCGGCACTGATCTCGCGCTTGCGACAGCCATCGGGCTTGCGCTTCCCCGCCTTCACCTTGCTGGTTGCTAGCCAACCCTTGGGCTCTGCAGCCAGATCTCTGCTCCCGCGCTAAACCGCTCGCTGAGGATGGTGCTGTTGGCCCCGTTCTTTTTGCGCGAAGATGAATCCATTCATCCTCAGCCACCTCCAGGGTAGCTCATTGTTCTCCCGCAGCTGCCTGTGTAAGCGTTGGTGCGCCCCCAAACTTAGGATACTCGCTTCAGTTCCGGCATGCTGACACCTACAGGAGCTGCACCTTAATACAGGCCTTTAGCTTTCGTCTTTTATCTCTCGCTCCACACAGATGTTGGAGATACATTTAGGAGTGAAAAATTGCATCCCGCAAATGCACTGTAGCTCTCGGCAGTGGCTGCTTCCTAGGCAAGTGGTGCCATCTCCCAGCCAATTGTGGGACCCAGGTGTTTAGCCTCCGTAACACAAAGGAAACCAGCTTTCACTTTGTATCTCAGTCTAAATGCACTCCTGGCCCCAGTATACAGACTCTAGACCTGCCCTCTTGAGGCACAGCCCTCCTGGCTTGGAATCTGCAGAGAATAGCAACGGTTCCTAGTTACTAGCCGCTCCGTGGAGGGCACGGGCAAGTGTGATACTAGTTCTTGATGGCTTACACAACTCCTGGTTCAGGCATTGTGCACTTCATAAACACCCATGACCTTGTAATTGCCTTGTTTAATATGAACTCCCTGGGCAACAGTGAGCACTCCCAGAAGGGAGATGTGTGTTTTGTTCCTTGTAGTGTCTCCCAGTGTCTGTTAAATAAAAGAGCTCTTTGGTTTTTCAATATTACTAAAAATGACTGACATTGAAATCTAAGTGTTTTGCCGCTTTAACAGAGCACCAGATAGGGTAATTTACAAAGGAAAGAAATTGACTTCTCAAGCTTCTGGAGACTAAGAAGTCCAATACTGAGGTGCCACTGTCTGGCAAAGTCCTTGGTGCTGTGTAATCCCATGGTGAAATGCCAACAGACAAGAGCAGGAGGGAAGGAGCTGAGCTCACTTTTATAATAACCCACTCAACCTATACTTCCTTGATAGTGATTTTAATCAATTAATGAAAGCAGAGTCCTTTGATTTAATCTCACCTTTTAAAAAATATTTTACTATTTTTATTTTGTGTTTATGAGTGTATTGCCTGCATGTAGATAAGTGCACCCCTATCATGCAATGCCCTCGGAGGACAGAATAGGCCATTGGATCCCCGGAACTGGAGTTAGGGATAGTTGTTAGCTGCCTTGTGGGTGCTGGGATTCGAACTTGGGTCTTCTGCAAGAACAATCAGTGTTCTTAACTGCTGAGCCATCTCTCTAGCCCCTCACCTCTTTTTTTAAAACGTATTTGTGTGTGTTCAAGTTCACATGTATGTGCATGCTTGTGGAGACCAGAGGTTGACCTTGCATGTCTACCGCAATTATTCACCATATTTTGAGGGGTCTCTCACTGAGCCTAGAGCTCACCAATTTGACTAGACTGACTGGCCAGTGAGCCCCAGAAACCCTTTTATCTCTGCCTTCCCAGCACTGGAATAACAGGTGGTTGCTAAGATGCCCTGCTTTTTTGGCACAGCTACTGGAGATCAGGTCTTCATGCTTGTGCAGTTAGCTCTTCAACTAAGACATAGCCCCAGCCCCCTAACTCCACCTATTATGAGGCTCCTACTTCCCAACACTTTCACTGGGGATTAAAGTTTCAACTCATGAACATTTAAGAGATACATCCAAATAGCCAGGTGTGGTGGCCCACGCCTATAATCCAGGCACTCGGGAGGCAGAGGCAGGTGGATCTCTGTGAGTTCAAGGCCAGGCTGGTCTGCATAGGGAGTTCCAGACAAGCTGGGGGCTACAGGGAGACCCTGTCACAAAAAGATGAGAGAGAGAGAGAGAGAGAGAGAGAGAGAGAGAGAGAGAGAGAGAGAGATCCAAACTATAGCACCATGTCAAGCCTTTACCTCCTGCCCAAATTTCAGGCTTCTAGATTCCACTTGAGTATTATCCTTGTCATCAAACATGTTAAGAACTAAAGTCTTATCCATTCCCAGCCCTTACTTTGCCACCACTAATTCATTCCCAAATTACCTCTCTGAACCATCTTTATTTCTTTCTCTCCCACTTCCCACACCATTTGCCAAGGCTTGCAGATTTTTAACTTCAAAATATTTCTGCAGACGATCCCTTGCCCTATCTCTCCACTACTACAAATCTTAATTCCTAGGTAGGTAGGAGGGCCTGTTCACTGCCATCTATCATACAAATCCAACTCAACTCATGGCACTCAGACCTCTCCGCCAAGCATTCTATCTTGATGTCACTTTCAACAGCATTTCCCAAATGTGCTCTGTTCAATGTCGCTTTAAGAAATGTCCCACACCATGCATGCTAGCCCACAGCTGTGAGACCTTGTCCTAAAAAAAGAAAACTGTCCCCTCAAATCAAGTGAGTACGGGATGTGCACGTTTTGCCTGTCTATGTAGAGGCACAGAAGCAGAATCTTTTGTGTATTTGGAACTACCAGCTGCAGAGGACATTGGGATATAGATTGCTCCACTGGGCTGGTAACAGAAATGTCTTTCCATATGCTTGCCTAGTCTAGATGAAAATAGGTGGAACCATCAGAGCCTCTTCCTCAAAACTAGGAACTGGAACTAAGAGATCTCAGCCTTCTCTTGAGAAGTCTCTCTTGGGAGATGGAGAACCTCTTGAGTAGACTTGAGAAAGTTGTAACATTGTTTCTCTTGCAGTTGTTCTTGTGCCTGGCTGGCTGCCTGTGTACTTGAAATCTGAGAGATAACTCTGGAAAATCTTTATAATGGAGTCTGGGTTTTGTTTTTTTTTTTCTGAATTTGAATCAAATGAATTTCTGCTACAACCTAAGAGTCAATCAAAACCCATGTGTATACCATAAGTATTTATATGGTGCTTACACCATGTGAACACTTTCTATTCACTGCCTCCTCAGTACGCCCAGTATCCCCATGGGTAGTACTGGCTTTATAGGCACTGTACAAGGTCTCGGCAGTCTTGTCACCCACCATAGAGAAAGTCTTAATGGTTTTTGGACAAGCAGTCCCTCATTTTCATTTTGCATTGAGTCCCCTGCCTGCCTCCCTATGAGTTATCCATTTCAGGAAAGGTTTCTTTACTGCAAGAAGTCTTCTTAAAGTCTTTAAAATCAAAATAGGCATTGTAAATAGCCAAGTGATAGGCATAGAATGTGATATTTCCCACCCTAATTGGACCCAGAAAACTCATGGAGAATGGCTAATGGTTTTGTGTTCTGAAGAGCAGGATAAAGACCAACCCTTTAGTGATCTGACTCTGCCTTGCCCAGTTCTCTCAATGCACAGTGAGCAGTTTCTTGCTTCTGTACCTTCACACATGCTTTGCAATCTGCCATGCTCATTAAGCACTTTTGATAATAATTGGCTTCTCCTTAGAGTTACCTACAAGGAAAGAATGTACCCCTCAGCTAATATAAATATCTTGTATGCTTGGCAGTTAAGATGGACATTGTAATTGACACCTCAACTAGTCACTCGAATCACCTGGGAGCTTGTTAGGAATGCCAAAATTGGCCCTTGGCCAGACCTACTGAATCAGAATCTACATTTTAATAAGATTCTCAGGCAATACCTATACACGGTAATGTTTGAGAAACATTTGTAAGTTAATCAACAATAGTCTCATCATGATCACTAGAAATTGCTTCTATAATGGGTGTGTCTTACTCATTCTAAGTCAATGGCATACAATTCGGTGCCAACTCTTACTGCATCTGGGAGAAAAGAAAGACTCTCTCTCTCTGGCTCTCTCTCTCTCTCTCTCTCTCTCTCTCTCTCTCTCACTCCCTCCCTCTCTCTCTCCTCTCTCCCCTGATGTAAACAAGAACACATGTTGCCTTCTTGGTTCCTGCTGACAGGCAAAGTAAGCCAGACTGGGGGCAGGCTGCTGTAACCCATCCAGTGTTTGTTCTTCCTTAGTAACTACTGTGGTTCCTTCTTGTGGCTAGAGGAAGAACAGAATGGAGCATCCTGACTTTCTAGCCACAAGTCTTGCAGCTTGGGAATATGTCCATGTGACCTGTTGACTTGAGTGGTTCTTGACCAGAGTAGCACTTCACAATCACCTGGGGAGCATTTAGGATATATCAATTCTCAAGTTCCACCTCTGAGATTTTGGTTTAATGGGTCTGGGCTGGAGCCTAGACATTGGTATTTTTTAAAAGCTCCTCAGTGGTTATAATGTGTAGTTGTAATTGAGAAGCAGCAATTTAGACAGATCACATCTTAGAACATAATTTCATCTTAATATTCCCTATGCTAATGGCCCTTTCCCATTGGGACTGTTCATGAAACTTCTTATAAACTCATTTTGTAGCTTTGTTATCTATAAAAATAATGTAAATCCTTTATTTAAAAAGTCAGTAATTAAAAAAGATTCCAATATTCCATGTTTTATTTGTAATTTCTACATTTGGTAGGCACCATTATTCACAAACACATAAAGAAGGATGGGTAAGGAGACACATAGGTAGAGAGACCTGAACAGGAATAGGCTCCTTCTATACATGCTATTTTAAAATTATTTTAAATACAGTATTGAATCTATTCTTTTTATAAATTTATCATGTGTGCATGTGTTTATGTGCATGTGTGTGTGCACCCAAATGCCACACCCCACGTATGGAAGTCAAAAGACAACTTGCAGTAGTCAGTTCTCTCCTTCTACCAAGCAATTCTAGGGGACTGTACTCAGGTTGTCAGGCTTGGCAGTAAGCACCTTTACCCACTGAACCATCTCACCAGCCCTTGAATTTGTTCTTGTTTGAATTGAACAAAAGAAAAAGATTTCAAATATATTTACTTCATCAGAGGAAAGATGGAGTCATAAGAGATTTCTCAAAATTAAACAAAATTATAAAAATCTTTGGTAGGACAGAGTAACTTTTTGAACTAGAGGTTTCAACATTGGCCAGCACTGAACTCCTTGCTGTTGATGATAAATTAACACTCCCTGCCACTTCTCTGTACTTCCCAAATTTTTGCTTGTATTATTATTATTATTTTATTATTATTATTATTATTTTGGTCTTTTTGAGACAGGTTTTTTTCTGTAGCCCCAGCTGGTCTGGAACTCACCAGGCTGGTCTTGAACTCACAGAGATCCACATACCTCT